TATACAGATAGCCCCTGATCAGGTGGACTGTCAACTATTGCACAAGGGTAAGCATTTAGCATTATTCGGCCGTTGGCCTCTTTTGTTTGAGTAGTAGGGAAGCCAGGCGGCGGGGGCCGGATAGTCCCCTTGATTCGCCAAGTTTTTCTTGGCTATTAACTCAAAGGTTGTTAACCTAGCAGGAGTAGTGGTTGAGAGCCCCTGTTTGCTAAAAACAGGCGGGCGACTCATACCTTTTAGGCTCCATACTAAGTTTGAGAGAGTGACTATGAGTTAACATGGGAGTTACTCAGTCTCCGTCACACTCTAGCTTGAGTAGTAGAGGTACCAGGCGGCGGAGGCCGGCTGATCCCCTTGATTCGCCAATGTTTGTTGGCTATTAACCCAAGGAGTGGTTACCTAGTAGGAATAGGGGTTTGAGTGCCCCTGTTTGCCAAAAAACAGGCGGTCTACTCAAACCTTTTAGGTTCCATACCAAGTTTGAGGGAGTGCCTATGAGTTGACTTTGGTGTTACTCAGTCGCCGTCACTCCTGCTTGAGTAGTAAAGGTACCAGGCGGCGGAGGCCGGCTGAACCTTTTGATTCGCCAATGTTTGTTGGCTATTAACTCAAGAGGTACCCCCTGCATTTATCCCAAGTAATACAGGGGATCATCCGACTCAAATGTCAACTGCTACCACTGGTTTGGTTAGTGATAGAGTTATCCTTGTCTCAAAAACGGCTACGTGGTTGTCCTTGGGGACAGTCGTCTAGGTGCCGTGTACTTAGTTTATAGAGCAATGTTCCACCCAAAAGGGAGCTGCTCTCTGCAACGAATTTCATCCGAAGGGATGCCGCCGGACGCCTGCTATTATGTTGGGACAGGTCGTATTAGTTTAATTTTAAGGGAGGATCAGTCGGCCTGGCGCCTGGGCTGATCATCGGGCCTGTGGCCTTGGTTAGTTCTTGGCGAACGTAGGTGCTAAGTAAGAAGAGGGCAGCCGCTTGTTTAGGCACATGGTCGGCCTGGCCCTAATCTTTTTTAGCTAAGTATAAGGGGGTGGTTGTCTGTTTTGGAAACAGTCGTCCCTCTTCTATGGAGAGTGGCCGACTGTATGTCTAGACGGCATGCCCCTCTGGTGGAGTAAAATAACCAATGGAGAGTAGCCGCCCATAAAGGTACAGGCGGCATGCCCCTTTGAAGATAAAGAGTAAAATACTCAATGGAGAGTAGCCGACTGTAAAGGTACAGGTGGCATGCCCCTCTGAATCAGTATCAAGTATTGAAACCATTTCAAGTGTTAGAGCAGATGGATCACCTAGTTCCCTTCCATAAAGGATGGATGGTGTTATTAATGAGAGTCGGCTGCTTTCATAGCTACGAGACTTCATTGTATAGGGGGTCGGCTAGTATTCATGCCGCTTTTCTTGCCTGATAGACTGTCATGCAAACAAGTGGAGGTAATCCACGAAGAAAGACAGTCTTCAATAGAGTGCCGCCTATGCTGCCTGGTTTAATAACCTTAGGCAACATTTTTTAGGGCATCTTACACTTTTTATTTTTTTTTATTTTTATTTTTTTATCATAATAATGATTGAGGTCGCCTAAACCAAGGCTACGAAACCATGATAATCATACCACCAGACATTCGGCATGCCGCTTGCTTTCATTTGGCAAGACATCCAATCTTCTCAGCTTCAAAATCACGATGCATGATCATGATGATGTTGGGCTTAGCATAATGATGCTAGTTGTACTCGTACCCATGATAATTTTCTTGATGATAATTTCTTTCGTGTAACAGCCGGCTGTTTAGAGCTGGCAGGCCGGGTGCTTAGTGGCTGGGTTGGGGCCGGCTGCCGCCTGCTGGCTTTGAGGAACGATGCCTAGGAGCCGGTTGTTCAAGCATAGGTGTCATAAAGCTGGCTGTATTGAGGCAGTTGGGAGCCTTGTATTTTGACGCCTGCTTTCATTAGTTTAGCGAGGACACTAGGTGTAGTTAAACAGCCAAAGGCTTGACTAGCTAGGTGCATCTCTGTGCTCAACCACTAATGCCGGCTGTAGCCTAAGGCCAGCTTGGCTTGTGCGGGCGCCTCAATGGTGGACTAGCAACGAGGGCCGCCTATTCTGAAAATTTACAAACGACTTCTCAAATTCAGGCGTCCATACCCATCTTGCGTATCCAGCCATGCATAATATTCTCTCGTTCTTGCATATGCTGCTTTATTAGAGCTAGCTTGAAGTTCGACATTGAGATATCGCCTTGCACATTCTCAAACAAGGAACTTTTTGGTGTTAAACGGTTTCGGACACCATTAATAACCAAGGTGCGCAGCAAGCAACTGAGAGTTTGAGTTCAACATTTTACTTGCATTTTACTTGAGTTTGAGTTTGAGCTCATGCCTTTTCAACCAAGTGCCGACTGTTTTAGGTGAGTCGGTGTACTTAACACATGCGCCTGGCTGGGGCTGGGCTGAACGCCATCGGCTCTCAGCAATTTAGTTGGTAAGCTAGGCAAGTGATACAATTGGTGATAAGGCCGGTTTATTTTGCCATGATGTGTCGGCTGTCCTCATAGTGTTCTTGCCAATTATATATTAGCCGCTGTTCATTAAAGAGTGCCGGCATCTGGCTGCTCCCACAAGGTGAGTTTACTCGCCCATCGCCATATCTAGATGGTCTTCATACACTAAGTGTGAACGGTACACACTCAATCATACGCTTGTCGCTTGTATTAATCACCATAATGGTTATTGATGGTATGATGCTGCTGCTTGTATGAGAGAAAGGGGGGTTTGTTAGCTTCTCTTGATGGCTTAACAGCCGGTGGTACAGTGCTTCCCCTACATACATACAGCCGCCTAGCCGCCTACTTTGTACATACACACGAACTCATTCGACTCGGCATTTAGAGTCGCTTGTTCTTGGAGTGCCGTTTGATATTCTGCTGTTTGCCCATGATACTTCGAGATTCAAGAATCACTTAGCTTGAGGTTACATGTGGAGCATGCCGGCTTCTTTCATGGTTACGAGGACTTGTTTGTTAGCGTCGTACCGCAATCGGCTTTAGGAGTGTTACACAAACACCATTTCTTCAAATTCATCTAGCTTTCTCAAGGCTATCCTCATTTATCACCGGCTGTTTGATGGCTCGGATTAGGCTGGCTGTTTTGCGGCCGTGTTGTCAAACACCTTATACTTGATGTTATACGTACACTTGATGCTAGTTGTTTAAATTTAACCAACCAAGCTATACGTACACTTGTTGCGTTTGTTGTGAAGGTCGCCTGCTTTAACATGGCTGGCTGCCTCTTGCTTGATAGCTTGAGGAACGATGCCTAGGTGCCTCTTAGGATACACAAGTGAGTTGCTTTCCCATCTAACTTTACACTTGTCTTTTCTCATAATGCAAGTAAGCTAGCTTCTCTATATAGAAAATGAAAGACGAATAGATAATGGACAAGCTTGTTCCACTAATTAATAAAATAGTTAATAAACTAGTGGAGCTTTGCCGCCTGACATCATCCCCAAATTGAGTGGACCAGCTCATAAAGCATAGCAAATACTTGGGAATTAATGATGGCGTTTATGGTGTATTGGAGTGTGAAATTAGTTGGCTTTCGTTGCAAGTAGCACAGCCCCACTCAACAGATTTAAAGAAACAAGTCGCCCTTTTTTTTCTTTTTTTTTTTTTAATTCAAAATCATAATAATGATTTGATAATAATAATAGCCTACAAGCTTGACCATCCGACTCCTGTTATTCGGCAGTATGGCGTTTGTGGCACATGCGGGGCCGACTAGTTTTTATGGGATCCAGACCGACGGGAGGTGCCGCCTATCTGGCTCTCGTAATTTGATTGGGTATACCTCATGGAGGTATTATGAAGACTGTCTTGAAAATCGGTAGTAGTGGCCGACTCTGACAGTTGGTGATTCTTCTTTTGCTCGATTATCATTCGAGCATCAGAGTATGTTTTCCTTGATCCATCCAGTTGAATAAGGCGGATGGGCTTCCTCTTCCCTAGAGAAGGGAAGCGGTACTTTGTTAGGTCGATCACTGGCGCCTCTCTCCCCTTAGGTCTAGGGTGAGTAGTCGCCTCCCGATCCTTTGCAGGTTCTTCCTCCCAGATTGGGAGGGTCTTCTGGCCGACTGTTCCTTTGCAGGAACAGGCACCCTTCTATTGATCAAGTCTTGGATCTCTCCTTTGAAACTACTCATGAGGGCCATGAGTTCATTCCTGGTTATAGGGGCAGATCCCTCGGCCGCCTGTTGATGATCAGGCGGCGGGCCGGCTGGTTTACTAGATTTAGCCAGGTAGTCTCCCCGTTCCCTCCTTTCGATGGGACGGGTGCGTCGAGCTCTGAGGGACCCGTCAGGGGCCGTGTGAGTCTTAACTTCATATTCTTCGTCGGTATACTAGTCTGACTGGACCAGGGGGTCGTCCATGGAACGCTTCTCACTTAGAACCGGTACAGACTGTGATACCATCTCGAAAGTACTCTCCCCACAGACGGCGCCAAAATGTTTCGGGGTTTTCTGATGTCCTGCGGGAGAGTTACAATTCCGGGACTGGTATCCTTGCGCCTGTACCTGCAAAACAACGGAGACTCCTTGTGGTGGGAGCTCCGCCTTCAACGGTCAAGTTAGTACTTGTTTGAGGAGTAATAAATGCGGAAAGTAAAGGTGGGAGATCTGGTTCCTCTAGGGGAGGAGTGATCAATGTGTTTAGACTTCTCTAGGTGAGAGTCATCAATTGCTGAATCCCCTTTAATGAGGATTAATTAAGTATTTATAGTCTTGAGAAGCGTGCCAATCCTAGGTTTAGGTTAACCAGGGCAAATTGGGCTTCTCTCGGACTTTGGGCCTTGGTGGCCATTTTGCCTATTTGGCATATGGGAGGCCACGTGGCGTGGCCTGATTAGTCCATATTGGACCTCTTAGGGTAACAAGTGGCGGACGCTGATTGGCCCACGTGGTGGACACGTGGCAGGTCCGGATTGGTCAATTTGTCATGGGTAATTTTTACCCTAAACAACTCTCCTTTATAGGCCTGTCAGAACATTGAAAAGAAGCTCAGGGAAGTAGGGAACTCTAGAGATATTGAAAATGTGGCATTATATATTGCATTCAGATACAAGGTAGCGAATGAATCTAATTAACAAAAGTATTGAGATATGTGTATTTCAAGCAGATACCAAGTAGAAAAGGACTAATGAACAAAGCTGATTAGGAAAATGAAATGAGATATTACTCTAAGCTGCATCCAAAAAAACCTCCAAAAGACTAAATCCAATCTTACTCACTCGAACTCTTCATTCCAACTCGAAGGTCCCATACTGCCCAACCCTCGAAAATACATAATGTCAACTACTCCGTATTCACTTGGACACCTGATAGTAAAATGAAAATAGCTGCACAATTTGCACCCCAACCTCATACCTAAGTTCTACAACTACAATTGACCTCTTGCAATTAACAACAATTATAATTGATTTCTTGATATCAACAATTATAATTGAATTAATTTCAACCCGCAAAGCTGAGTTTCATCTAAATATTTACTTGATTTCAACAATTTCATACTCCCTCCGAGTTAATAAGATAGGTACATACCTATTTTGATGTGTCCTATAAAACTTGTCACCATTCCTAAAACAGTGTGATGTATAATTTCTCAAGAGTCACATACCTACTTATAACTATATCAAATAATGACCCAAAATTTACAGTCTCCTATTAAAAAGGGTTTGAAACAATCTAACAATAACAAAATTTAATGTAATAATGTGCCTTACACTTTGAATAAAATGAGAAATTGGGACATTTTAATGAATAACATTATACAGGTAAGTTACAAAATATAGCAATTAGCCTTCAGATTCTTCAAAAAAAAAACTTGTGAAATGTAAGATAACATTAGCTCAAATAAAAATTTAATAAAAAGCACAAATATAAAAAAGAGAGTATTACCCTGAAATAATAAGAGACGATTGGAAAAGGAGAGAAATTAACTGCAATTAAACACGCCATTTTCTTCTCTCTCCAAATTCTTCAGCTCTTTTCTGCTACTTTGAACTGCTTCAAGTTTTCTGTTGCTTCATAATTTTTGTTTTTCCAGAGACTATTGATGAAATTAATTCTTCATAACTATCCAAAAAAAAAAAAAAAAAAAATCTTCATAAAGATACTTGGGCAAGTAATTCCGACTTTACTTGCCTGGGCCGATTTTGTTGCATTCTTACAACCTTACAAATGTTATGCGAGGCCCAACCTCAATTGTATTACGAAGTACTTCTAGTTTAAAGATGGCACTGGGCCGAACCGACCCAAGACACAGCATGGCTAGCACAAAAAGAAGCATAGCACACCATGATGAAACTTAACGATCGAATGATGAAACTAACCTAAAACAAAGGTCAACATCAATCGCATGATGAAACTTAACCTAAGAAAAAAAGACCATGTTTTCACCCACCTTTGATATTATACCATGTCTTCCTCAGATCTATTTTTATACAATGCATATAGAAAACTATAACATAAAAACCCCTAAACTGTCTGCTTTCGACCTCCCTCCAAAGTTTGATGAGCAGGTTTCTGAAATTTTGTAACCCCAAGAGTCCTAAAACGCCATAGCTTCCCTTAGATTGAGGTATAAGTCATAAGACTGTTTTGTGAAAAAAATATACAATCCTAACTGCAACCTACTTAAAGTGAAATAATCCTTGGCTCATTCATATTAAGGAATATACAAAACCAGATAGCAGTGTTATTAATCATTCAACAACTCAGTAGTAATCCCAGTTATCCCTCTAAGGCAGGGTTTGGAAAGTCCATATGTATGCACCATTTCAACCTTACCCCTACAGCACTACTAAGTCAAACTATTGAAGGGATTATTCTCAAAAAGCCCACATACAATTCTTTATCTTTTTCGGTACAAAGGAAAGTGCTTTTTCTGAAAATGTAAGGAGCATTAACTACTGCCCTTGGCCACAAATTGGCAAGTATTAAAATACCATAATTGGAACATACGGTCTCTTAAAATGGTGCTCCTTTACTCTGATCGATTCATGAGAGCAGTAGATGGAGGTGAATTAAAGAGATAAAAGGCAGGATAAAGCTATTGCTAATAGGGATGAGAATAGTTAAAGGCATGGACCGTAGACAGGATTAACGATGGAAGAACAATTTAATCTATATAAGCAACATCAAGGTTCAAGATTGCAATATCACCTATCAATTTATTTTTAAAGAGTAGCAAAATGCACCAACATACTTTGTCCTGCATGCGATTCCCCACCAGGAGTACATCCAAATCCCCCATCTAGGGTTTTTGCATCTTACTATGTGATTCACAGCATTTTCCACATCAATTTTGTCCAATTGACGTAGCAATGACAGACAACAGACTGCAATATATGAAAACCTACACAAACGAATAAAATTGCGTAAGATGCTCTTTGTTTGAAGAAAAATGAAGTGTAAAAAGGACAAGATACGTCGTGCGAGCACACCTAGTATCAACTTGTTCCCACATGTCTCCTGAAAAAGATCCATCTTCATTCTGCAGTCCCACAATATCTGAGTAACAAGGTTAAGGTCCCATGAACCAACAGGGATTCCTTTCTACGTGATTAAGTTACTTGAAAAAGAAACTAAGAAATTAATCTTTATAAAAGTCATCAAGATCAAGGTAAATTGGAGGTACTACAGAACTGGTCACAACAGCCGATACCTCTTCCTTAGAAAATAAACAATAAAGCAGCAGCAAACTATCCACAATCTTATAGAACAGCAGTGTTAACAAGAAAGTACAACATATTCTGGGACTCACAAAGCCTGATTACAATTTTAGAATATGATGTTTCCCTACAACAAGCCTGAAAGGATACAATTTGTCACTTACCACCAAATCCACCTGCAAATTTTAGTCATGGTGAGCATGACATGTTACATCATTTAATTGGACAAACAAATATATTAAGAACTGCAAACTACTATATATAGCTTGGGGTGGGGGTGGTGGGGAGGATATTCCCTCCACGCACCAAGGTTTGAGAAGAGGGAGGGGGGTTGAGGTGGAGAGCATGATAATCTTAAACCAGATAGCAAGGACTACTATATTACTTGAATTTTGAAAGGACTGGAAAAACATTGGATCCATAAGAATGATGTCTGCTTTGAGTCTAATCTTAACCATCCAAGTATCATAATCATCATTCAAAATTAAGCCACAAAGAGGCAAACTTTGAACAAACAATCTATCTAGAATTTTTATATTAGCTCAACAACAACAGCAGTGAGTGCGGATCTTGCAGTCCTGCCTCACCTGAAAAGTTCAAGATGTATGAGTCCTTAATTCTTCTAGAAGGACCAAAAAAGAGACATGTAATTCCGCAGTCTAATTTTCATACTAGTTTAAAGTAAGCAGATTCATTGAAGCATGTCCACCAAAACCTACTTAAAAATACTCGTAGGAGCCAAAAAATAAATAAAGGAAGAAACTTGATGAATTGGAAAGTTTGACTTAGCATTATTACCATTAAACAGGAAGAAGTTCTACAAACCAGATTCATGTTGACACTGCATAACCCATGGAATAACTTCATCTTGGTCCGTGACTTGAAGCTTTCCCAAAAGATCCAGTGTTGTCAGTCCCCAGTAAGCACCATTTATCCTAAGATGCTCTGTGGCCACGGATTCCAATGCATCCTTCTTCTAAGGATACAAGTAACCAATAAACTTGCCTCCAAAAATTAATCATGGACCCCATGGCATTTTGAATCAAAGCATAGAGGAAGATTATAAAAAAATCAAACATTGAAAGGAACCAGAAATAACTTACCTTCTCAACAGATATGATATATTGGGTGTGCTTCTCCACTACCAGCTCCACCATTTTGTCTGTAAGCTAATTCTGCCACCTCTCAAAATAATCACTTTGTAACCAATACCCTCTAATACAGCTTCGACGTAATCTCAACACTAGATAACCAAAGCAACCAATCAGTTTTGGGGACAAAATCAACACAGAACTCTTTTCAGAAGTAATGAAAAAAGAATAAACATGTTACATTGTACACCAATTTTAATACACCTTATTCCATAATAATGCTGAACTGCTAGTAAAAATTTTATGCATCATACTTCAAAGTCTGCCTATTCTATAATTCAAACAACTGTGACAAAAGTAGTTAAGTCGCAAACACTACATTGAAGCAAAATGCTTTCCAATTTGTAGGCAGATAGATGACAATTAACAATAAGAGGCTAATGACAACCTAGTGTGCAAGTGACATGATATGCATGCATCTTCAACCAGCAATTAGGCTCGAATATAAAAAACAAGTCGACGACTTCTTGGAGGATAATCCATAGTATGAGAATAGTCCTCTCAATAAACCTAAGTAAAAAAGAATCAAACATAACATGTCACCAAAGTTAATTCATCCCTCCTAACTAAATCAATATGATACTTCATAAAATCATTCACAATGCTACATGAAGAGACAATGCCATTACAAACCTGTCAATACGTTCGATTCAACGTTTCCAGTCCCCAACAAACAATTTCTTGCAAGCTCCTAACAATGTTTTAATCCTAACTAAACATAACATTTGACCAAAAGGTCCCTCCCACCCTACCAACTAAACCGATATAAAATCATCATGGAATCATTCACAATGCTACTCTAGGAGACAATGCCATTAAGAACCCATTAATCCATTCGATTCGACGTTTTGAGTACCCTATAAACAATGTTTGGCAAGCTCAAGCAGTGGTATTAAACAAAAACCTACAAGGATTAACAATATGAAATCGTAATTATTGTGAAAATATATAAAGTACTCATAACAGCTCAAAAATCATCCAATGACACATGTGATCTACACAATTAAAACTTAACTAACACAGTATAACAATTAAATAAAATAATTAATTCATAATTAGTCACAAAAAATTGAATTTTAACATCAAATTAGAATCAAAATCGCCAATTAAGATGGAAATTACAACCTAAAAATGAAGAAGTAAGATACTAATTACATGAAAATGTGAATGCTAATTCAAAATTCGCATAGCTTTCTTGAATCCGAAATAAATGTAGCAACGTCAAACACATACTAATTCTGATATGTTTTTCCGATTACTTAAGAAGAGAATATTTTGCAAATACCTTAAAATGTGCAAATAATTAGTTGGAGGTGATCTAATTACCATTGATAGCGATTGTGGCAGCCATGACTGTAGTTCTTGAAGTCTTGAAGCTATAAAGTATAAAGTACTGATTTTTAATACTTTTACTCGTAATTTTTTTATTTTTTTTTTGAAAGATTTTACTCGTAATTTTTTATATGTAATTGATGAAAAAATTAATCCGTTTTTTTTTTTTAGTAAGGAAAATAATCATTAAAAAAATCCTCCTTATAGTTTTTCTTTTCTTTTTTTTTTTTTTTTGAGAAAATCCTCCTTATAGATTAATTCGATTTAATTGGTAAAGTAAATACGGGATAATAGTATGAAATAGTATTTGGTCTAATTGGAAAGATTTTGGGATCATCCCACCATGGGTAACTTGGGGGTGGAGCTTTCTTACCTTAACCCCCGCTCCCCAAGAACTTTAATTGTCCGCTAAATGGAACAACGGAGTTGATTTGTGAAAAGCTTCGATCCGTTTGAACTTAGAACGTCTTCTCCTTACCATCTAAAAAAATGATTTAATTGATACTGTAACAATACTAATGAAGTACGAGTGTTATTTTAGTAAGTGTAGAAGACATCCTATTGACACGAGAGATAAGTTAGTCCCGACTCGTTTAGTTGGCCAAACCTTTAACTAGGAGTAGGGGATAAGGATTAGGTACGTTTTTACTCAAGTGGAGATGGATCCTACAATTGCTACAATTTTAAGGTTGAGTAAGATACACAATCTTCACCACTTGCATACTTAACCAAAAATTATTTTTAGTACTCCAATTCAAATTTGATTTAGTACTCCAATTCAAATTTGATAGATAAATCAAATTTGGCATGCTACAAAAGTACAAGTAACTGATTAATCTTCATGAGTAAAATATATGAGGAAGAGAACACGCTCCATAAAGAGAAATAATTTGGATTATTGGTTTTACATACAATCCTCATTCCTTTAGCTTCAAGATAACTTACTTTATAATTTTAATCATTTCTTTTGTCTGAAATATATATACCCTGACCCTTTCATGAACTTTTTCCTATGTATTTTGTTTGAAATTTGTTAAACTTCAGACTTTATAAACATGTAAAAACTTATTTTGATTTCTTGGAAATGAGTTATACTTTGTCCGATCTTTTTACTTGCTACAAACTGTAACTCTCGAATTATGCAAAGTATGAAATGATAGTGTATTTTGCAATTTCCCGCTTTGGATCTCTAACTATCTCTTTGCAAAATTGCTAAAAATAAAAATGCATCATGAAGGTCAACGGCATCGAAATGCAAAGGATGGAGTTGAAATTAGTGTAACACATACCCACTTTTATTTCTGCCCTAGCTTCAGCTGGTTGTAAACTAGTAATTATTTCCGGTGGATAACAATGAATCAATGATAATCGTCAGGTGTTATATTATCACCATATAATTTAGGAAAAATTGAAACAAATAATCCCACATTTGGCTCATTTTTTCAAAACAATTCCATCTTTGCGTATTTTGGAAATAATCCCACCTTTATACACTATATTCTCAAAATGAGCTTTTTTACCTTTAACCTGTTTTACAGGTTAGATTTTTTTTTTTTAATTTTTTTTTCTTTAATCCCTCTTCTCTTACCTCACCCCTTCCTCCATGTCAACCACCATCACCACCACCACAACCACATCACCACTGATCTAACCCCCACCCCGAAACCCCACATGAAGCTTCACCTCTTCCTCTGCAAAACAAATATCTCAATTTCATTATTTTTTTATTTTAAACAAAAATAATAAATTTAGAATGGGGATGGAGTAGACAAAACAAAAAATTAGAAGATAACACGTGGCAAAACACCTTTTAAATAGGTTATCAATTTCACTAACAGGTAAAAAGCTCATTTTGAGAATATGGGGTATAAATGTGGAATTATTCCCAAAATACACAAAGGTGGGATTATTAATTTCAATTTTTCTTTTAATTTATAAGGTTATGTGTTTATTTTTTATGCAATATATGTTAATGACCTCTTTAAAAAAAGTGTATTAAATTTTTATTATAAGATGAAAATCATAATTTATTAATTTTGAAGTACATTTATATATTTATAAATAATAAATGGAAAAAAATAATCTTTAATCCCTCTCAAATAAAAGAAAACAACATTATATGACGAATGTTTTTTTTTTTTTTTTTTTTTTTTTTTTTTTTTTTTTTTGACAATAGAACGTGTTATCTTTCATTTAAATCGATTTATATTGAAATATAATACTTTGTATTCTTGATTTGTATATATGTATGTAGTATATATGCTGTTGAGTTTTAAGGGTATGTGTCTTTTGGAAGGGAACAAATTTAGGAAGAGTCACACCTTATGGAAACCATTAAATCATAATAATCCTAGGTTTTAGTTTAATTTGCACTTGGCAATGCAAAGGGATGCACCTCCCTAGCAAATAGAATTTCTAGGAGATTTCCAGACAAGATGACTTCATGTCTTGGAAACATAGGTGCATCATGAGTGAAATAGCACCTCTATACATAGTAATTTGACTACAACAAAAATTAATAAGTACATTTCACCATTGCCAACGAGCCACGCGTCGAAGCAAATGAATCAATCAAGGTTGATGCCAGGATTATCCTTGTCCTAATTAACTAAATTGAAAACCATTAATCCAAAATTATAATTATTATAAAATGCAAATAATTATTAATTAATCAACCATATACTTAATAGTATATGAATTTGTAGTACAATATGCATTGGTAGACATGTATATAAATTGTATAATACATGCATCTAATTTCACCTTTTTCTTGCTTTTTACTCTCATTGTACTTCCAAGCATGCTTTGTCAACATGAAAAGGAGTTATTTCGTATCTTTGCATTGTGTAATTAGAGTAAAAGGCAAATTAAAGCCAAGGAGATATGGCTTTCCAAGTACAAAATAAATGGTAAAAAAATAAAAGTTATTTATCAAATCAAAGATGATAATATTGGTGATATTAGATCTCTCGAACAAAAATACCCTAGGTTAAATTTCATGATTTTAATTATAAACCCTAATCTTGATAGTTCTTGGCTATACTAATTAGTAACTACTAAGGATTGTACTTATAGTTAGCTTAATTATATAATTAATAAACAAAAGGATATTCAGTTGTCAGTTTGGTATATATGGGTGATGGGCAAATTTCTTTTGATATTGAAGATATTAATAAATAAGCTTTAATTAATTAAGGGTAATAAAATGGGAACATTTTGCTGATATGATGGTGAAATTTTCGCAGTAAATCATGGTTTATAAAGTTGATGGAAAATATGGTCCCAGATTTCTATTGACTTAGGGTTAAGACTCCCTTGTTAGAAGCACTAAATTAAATTTTGATTAATTAACTTTAATTTAGTTTGATTAAGAGATTGGTGAATCACATGGAGATGGACCACAAAGCCATAAAGGGAGCCCCATAAGGCTGCTTAGATTGTACTTTCAATATGTAAGTTGATATGTATTTCTTTTAATTTGATTTTCGTTATACTTGTATAGATTAAGATATAAATACGAATTGAAGTACCTACTATATCAGAAAAAGTTCTTGATCATCTTTTGAGAAACATTATTTATGTTTGATGTCTTACAATCATAAGATCACTTTTGTGAGTAACTTCAAACATGTACTCTTATATATCTCAACTTTTCTCCCTTGATCCTCCTCATCTACAAGGTGGTCTTATGATGATAAGACAGTCTTATTTAAAAAAATTGCTTCGGTTTTCGATCCACAAATAAAGGATGGGAGCATGATTTTGAGTTTATGTGGAAGTGGAAGTCACTAAACGCAAATAGTATAAGCTGTACCATATACCTATTATTATACTCTGCATTTCGTAGTTAATTACTCCAAATAGTATAAGGTGTACCATATACCATATACCTATTTGTTAATTTGGATGACCCTAAACAAGCAGTTATGAGCACATCTAGCTCTAGGTTTATACCCGAGCATGCATATAAGGAGCTTGTGCTAGTAAGTATTAAAAGAAAGTTAGGTTGATGGAGTAATGATATCGCTCCCCACCTCATATGCTTGAAATTTATGGACAAATCTTATGAGACCCCTTATCTCCTTCTGTTATAACGGATGTTTGTAATGGAACAATTTAAATAAAACAATAACCTTCTTGATGATTTTCCATCAATTAGGATATTTTACGTGCTCCCCAAGCCTAAATAATCCTAAATTGATTATATTCCTAAATTCTATCTAGTTTTCTAACTACAATCCTCATTAAACTAGGAAAACATAAAAGATAGAAATAAATAAAAGATACATCATATCTTTTCCCAAAAAAAAAATCTCGTTGATATTTAATAAATTTAGTTTATTTCCTAACACCTTCAATTTAGCCTTCTTCAAATATGTTAAATAAGAGAAACATATTGATGAATAGTGGGTTTGTTCAAAAGAAAGTACGGTATACATACAATGCAACCAGGCCAACCACCTCTTAAAGTAGTTTAACTATTAATTAGCCTTGTGTCAGTAAGTTAGTAATAATCCAATTAGCTAGCTGCTGTGTCATAACTACAAAAATTCCGACAAAGTTTAATTTATTTAATATGCTAGTCAAATCAGATTTGCTATCTAATTGTTACAATATAATGGACCATGGATGTAATGGATAAAAAAAAAAAAAAAAAAAAAAAAAAAAAAAAAAAAAAAAAAATCAACACCAGGCCAACAATACACACAAATATATATATATATATATATATATATATATATATATATATATAACGTAGTTCTCTAACAATGTATTAGCTATATCTTACACGAATAAGTTTATATTGATTTACATAGAGTTTATATACTACTTCCAAAATAGAAACGAAATAGGCTATATATGTCATAACAGTCTACTAATAGATCATTGATATAAGATCAGAGTCTATCATTATGATTTCTCCTATACACGTGAAAAGATTTAGGCCTTGTTCACTTCAGTTCAGTTCAGTTCAATTCAATTCAGCTCCAATCAGTTCAGTTTAGTTCAGCTCCTAATTTCTTTCTCTCATAAAATATTCAGTTCAGTTCAGTTCAGTTCAGCTCTAATCAGTTCAGTTCAGTTCAACTCAGTTCAGTAAATGTGAACAGACCCTTAATCTCGTTTTCTAATTAACATCATACAATGGACTATTAGATACAAGCCAGTTTAATCACTCCTAATCACATAAATATTAATATTAATTGTTGTCTTTTAGGTTATTTGGTGACTAAGCACGTTGTATGTAAACAAGTTTTTGCCTTTTCTCATGTAAAGTAGCTAGATTGTTGGGTCATAACAAGTATAATAAGCCAAGTTAATTTGAATGGTATGCAATTGATGATTTAACACTTATAATGTCATTATGTGCTATGTTTTTTTTTTTTTGGGTGAATATGTTGGTGCTCTATTAAGTCATATACAACCCCTCTTTTTTATTTTCTCCTTTTTTGGGTGATATCCCACTTCATAAAATCTAAAGGCCCCTTCGGCTCTTTTCACAACAAACAAAGTATTGTTATTGACTTAAAACAATAATGTGGTTTTCTTCTCTTATAGA